CCACTGAAGCATGGTGGTGATGGCATTATTATTATTCAGGGTTTATATAGTGCCAACAGTTTGCGCAGCGCTTTACAATATAAGGAAGGCATGACAATTGCAATACAATTCAAGACAAGATGGTAAGGAGGGCCCTGCCCCTGAGGGTATGTAGATAGCAGAGTCCAGATGTCAGTCTAATGGATAACGTCAGGCTAGACGTTGAAAAGGCTTTTCACTCACCATCCCCAGACAAAGCTGGAGCAGTAGAGAAATGGGGAAAATTGTCAAGTCTTCAGATGAGCAAACCTTCTTTGTATAGCCAAATCAGTTTTACAAGGTGCTATCATCCCTAAATATGTTTATAACTATTGAGAAGAAACAGGGGACTTTGAAGATCTCAAGAAGCACTCAATGATCTATTGTATCTTGCACAAAATATGATCAAATGTTATTACAATAAACTCTCTGTTATCCGGTATTCGACTAACTGGAACTCTCATCTAACCAGCAAAGAAAAATCCCCTGTGTACTTCTGTTCTGCCGATCTACCACCTTCTAGGAGAGAGAGGGCTCTGTAGCACGGAAAGGTACAGGAACCGGCTGAAAGTGCTAGATTATCCTGGGAATGAGTGTCTGAACGATCTCTGAAAAGTGCTGTGTTATCCTGGAAACGGGTGTCTGATCGATTGTCTGTGAAAGGGCGGTATTATCCTGTGAACAAGCGCCACCTATTGATCACTCCCAGTACTGCAATGTATTGCTAATGGTTTAGAGTACAATATACTGTTATGGTATAGTATAGTATGGGGTATAGCATTAGTTGAACCCATATTTAATAGAAACTACATTTATTCAGAATCTACCAATCCCTGTGGATGCCGTATAACTGGGAGTTTACTGTATTACAGAATATTAAACTTCAATGATAAAATCAAAATGTGATCTTCTTTATACACTCAGATCACTTTTAGTTTACTTTTACTTTCTTTAGTTCACACCGGGTCGGTTCGGATGCGCGCACCTGCCGCCATGAACGATCCCATAGATTGCTATGGGGACCGTTCATGCAACCGCACGTGTCAGCACGAACGGAACCACCCCCCCACCCGAACTGCTCACTGCACTATTTTTGCCGCGCTGAGCAGTGTGGTTCCCATACAGGTTGCAATGGAACCGCGCTGACCAGTGTTGTTTTGGGCATTTTTTTTTATTGCGTTTCAGCGTTAAAACGCAATAAAAAAACTACCAAAACCTCCCTTTTTAATATAAGCGCGGTAACCGCGCTGATCCGCAACCCCCCTGGTTTTTTTTATATATTAATCTGGGCTTAGTAAAAATGGCCACTGTGAGAAATGTGTAAAGGAAAAGAAAAATAAGGTATGCAAAGAATAAAAACCTACAATCTATAGGTATATGTTTGTAGATTGTCATTACTAAACATTTCTAAAGGTGTGTTTTGTTTGTCTTTCAAAGATATGAGTAAAGTTTTTCTCTTTAAGGCGTAGCTAGCCCCAAAACCAATATTATTATTATATTACAGCTTACCAGTCCTTAGATGTGGTGACTGCATTAGTTTCTTTTTTTTTTTATTTCCTTTACTTTCACTTGGCGACTCAACCAGTAACACACTTCCTGTCTTAGGGTGGCTCCTCTCTATGGAGGAGCATTGGAGCCACCCTCGGACGGCAGCATTGTCACCCTGTGGGGGAGAGTAGTGTTAGGTGCAGATTTATGGTTGTATAAAAGTTTTTATTAAACAAAGACACAGCAAAGACAGTATAGTAACATGACCCGTACGTGACAAGATCAATGAGACGAGGAAGATATAAGGCATAAAAGGTATGTAAAGTGCCATGAGATACAAGGAAGAATTATAAGCTTCATGGAAAGCAATAACAACAAAACCACATGACAAGTGCAGGACATGGAGAGGCCGCTTAGGCAAATATACCCTCATAAAATGTAAGGTCTGATTTTGATTACTGCATATGTTAGATGCAGATTTTGATAGACTTGACTAACAAATTAAATATGAACTCCAGTTAACACCGTTTTCTTTTTCCTTTTGAGATGATGGATTTATATAAATTAATAAAATCTGACCATTTGTAAGTAAGCATTCCTGTCATTGTTAAATGGTTTGTTCCAAGCTTTCATTTACCACTTTTGATGGACAGCTTGGCCTGGTAAAGGAAAAAACAAATTAAACAAGAAAACTGCATTATGTTCCATTTTTGCTTTTAGGTTTTAAATACATTTTACTATTTTTTAATTTTTTTTAAAATTATAAAATGTTTATTGATTTATATTTTTAAAGTCTCTGCCCCCCCCCCCCCCCCCCC